GGTGCACCAAGAACAAGGTGCTACACAGAAGAAGAGCTTGGTAAATAAACACCAGGTGACATTGTTGAAGGGGTGACTGTGCCCCTACAGGGGACTAAGCACTTTATGTGCATTGTCTCGTTTAATCTCCTCAGTATCCTAGGAGTTCCTTAGTTATTCCTGTTCCCATTTTACAGATGGGGAAAGTGAGGCTTACTGATGCTTTGGTTGCCCCAGGTCAGACAGACATCTGATAAGCAGTGATGTTGCCTTCATAAAACAGTGTGATTCCAGGGTCCGGGCTTCAAACCACACCCTCCATGGTGTTTGATTCAGAGTGAATAGAGCCGTGGAGCAGACGAGTGTTCTGAAATTTGACTCTTGGTGCCTTTATAAGGGACCCTGAAAAAACTCCATTTATTTGTACTTTTCTTTACTTTTGGGGGCAGGGGGAAAGGAAGCAGGTGTTATGGAGCTCTTTAAGAATTTTCAAAGAACACTTCCAAAAATAGTGTTACTTAAAGGATTGGCTGCTGCCCCTCTTGAGCCAATGATTGAGAGACAAATTTCGTGGAAAGAAAAGTAGGTTTATTCAAAATGCCGGCCTTCTGGGAGGTTGTCTCTAAGACCACCTTAACTTCTGAGAATCTCCAAAAAGTTTTATAGCCACATAGTTAAGAAGCAGAACAAAAGAAAGGGACAGTTAGACAGGCGATTCCTGGGCGCTGAGGAAATAGGGAGACAGGCTATTTCTGGGTGCTGACGTCTGAAAAATAAGCAAAAATAATCACTTCCCAGAGTCCTGTACTTTGCAAGGTAAACTAATCTTGGACCCTGTTGTAGGAGTGACTCTCAGCCTGGTTGCTGTGCAGCAGATGTCTGAGAGCTGAGATAGCTTCTTTCAAGTCAGTGTTCTGGGGGTTAAATAGATTAACGAGATATGCATGCGGCTATGAGAAAACAGGGTCATTAAACCTGGTAGGAGGGGGAGGGAAGCAAAAATAAGGGAAAAAGTTTTAAACTAAATTACATTGTTAAATTGAAGTAACATTTCCTAAATCTTGAAAATAGAAAATACTGTGTCACCCTAATTACAATTGCACGTGAGATAATTGTTTGGTGGAAAATTTTAGGAACTCCATAAGTTCCTAATGCCCACTCCAGATGTATTCTGATCCTGTGTTTAGTATAAGACTTTGGCCAGTGGCTTTTAGATACTTTTTACTACAACCCTAATAGTAAGTTCATGTTACATTGTGACCTAGAACACACACACACACACACACACACACACACACACACACACACGCTCTCTCACTGACACACAGAAAGCAGAAATGCACTCAGCAACACTAATCATGACCATATGTGATTTATTCTGATAGTTTCTATGTTTGTCTTTCATTTAAAAAGTTGTTGATTTGTTTTTTTGACTAAACTAAGTTGATCTCAATAACAGATTGTGTTTATTCTTTCTTAGACCCTCTTTTGGAGCAAATCAAGTGAGCTGGCACATCAGTACACAAGGGTCCGTCAGGACTTGTTCACGCTGGAGGACACACTGCTGGGTTACATTGCCGACGGTCTCAGGTGGTGCGGAGACGCCGGCTCCTCTGGTGAGGATCGGGGCCATTTGGGGTCATCCAGGGACCTGCGGGGTGAAGGGGCCCTGAGCTCTGCCAGGGGCCCTGAAAGGGCAATGAGGAAGGAGGAGCCCCAGGCACCCACCCTGATGCCGCCTATGGACTTCAAGACAACTCACGCTGATGCAAACCCACATTCTTTAGATCAACTCATGTTTTCATCCTTTCTTTTCTATCCTGCTTACGACTGCCTGAGTCCAGCCCATGAACAAATCTTTCTTGTTGCTGGATCTGATGTAAGAGTCTTACTGCTCACTCACTCCTTACCCCTTTTAGGTCAGCCTCCATCTGGACACCACGGTGGGACTGTTCCAGTCTGTAACCTAATTCCTAAATAGCTCCCTTTTGCCTCTGGATGAAGCGTAAACTCCTTAGCACGGCCTGGCCTCTGTGTTTCATATGCCTCATCTTCCAGCATTACCTTTCTTATTCCCTCCGCTCTGGTGGTACTAGTCCAAACCCATGACGCTGTCTCACAGCTCCGAGCCTCTTCTCTCTATATGGAGCACCTTATTTTACCTCATCTGTCTGAAGACTTCTATTCGTCCTTCAAAACCAAGTTCAACATCAACCTTCCATAAGGGTGCTGCACACCACCCTCAGCCCATGTTGATCTTTCTGTGATCCACTTGAGTGTATTAGGTCATATGGTCTCTGAAGCAAGGGTTTCTGTCTAATTCATCTCTTTATCCCAAGGACCTAATTCTCAAATGTTTGTGCAGTCAAGTGCTATGGATAAAGAAAATGTCACACACACACACACACACACACACTGGAATATCACTCAGCCTTAGAAAAGGAAATGCTGTCATTTTCATCAACATGGATAAATCTTAAGGGCATTATGCTAAGTGAAATGAGCCAGAGAAAGAGAATCACTGCATGGCGTCACTTATATGTCGAATCTACCAAAAAAAAAAAAAAAGAAAAAAGAAAAAAAAGAAAAGTTAAACTTATAGAAGCAGTGTAGAAAAGTGATTGCCAGGGGCTGGGGTGGAATAAATGTGGAGAAGTTCGCAAATGGTACAAACTTTTCCAGTTATAATATGATAAGATCTGAGAATCTAATGTAACATGGTGACTACAGTTGATAACACGGTATTGTATAATTGAAATTTGTTAGGTGAGTGGAGCCTGTATGTTCTCTAACAGACACACACAAAGATAAATATGTGAGGTTTTGAATGTGTTCATTAACTCCATGCGGGGAAACCTTTTCGCAATGTATATACCTATATCAAATCATCACATGGTACACTTTAAACATCTTACAATCTTATTGGTCAACTATATGTCAAAAAATTATATGCAAAAATGTTTGTCCATTAAGGCAGATATCCTTGGGAGAAGTGACACAGAAACCACGTATTCGTACTCTATGCCTGTTGTAGCTCACAGACGCCTCAGCCTATCTCAATGGGGAGAGTGTAGAAAGACTCAGAGGCCACATGAGCCGATGGGTCTGGGGACTGAGGCAGGAGGAGGGGAAAGCTGTCAACAGCAGAGAGTTGGCAGGAAGGAGACGAGTGCTTGGTGAGAGCGGCCCCCGAGAGCCCAGGTTTCCCTCTGAGTTTCCTGGACATGGGGATGATGAGGGGCTTGTCCCTGTCAGATGAGCTTTTGCTGCAATTTCCCTGAAGGATGACTCCATGCTGGTGACTGGGTTCCTGTCTGGGATTTGGAGGGTAAGGTAAGGACTTGGATGGGATTCAGGGGGCACTTAGTTAAATTGGATTGAGATGTGTCCATTTTCCATCCTCCATCTTGGCAGTGATGCCACTGGAAAATGGCTCCACTGTGACCTGGTAGCCAGGGAAGAGCAGAGCTGAATTACACCCTTTCTTTTCCACTTTAATTATTTTCTATAAACTATGCTTTTTAGAAATAAACTATGGCTCTTGTCCAGAGAGGGGGGACCAATGTATCAACAACACAATGTCTGTATTCTGGGACACGGCATCTAAAAGGGTAAGTACTGAAAGTGAAATTCTAGAATTTTGGAGACCAAAGAACTTAAAAGTCATTTAGTCAGTGGTTGGTTTCAATTATTTTTGGATCACAGATACTTTTATGATCTAAAGCTTAGGAATCTTTCCTGAGAAAAATGATTCTAAGCACATACCAGAGGATTTTTCACATATAATTTGTGGACATTCATGGAGGGTCCATGGGCTCTTGTTGAAGAATCCATGCTCTTATTCATTTTTTGGCTCTGGTTGCCAGGAATATCTGGCTTGGTTTAATACTTTCATCCACGTATTGACTAATATCAAATTCCTGGAATAGTCTTAATAAAATTCATACTGACCACTCCTGCCTGCTAGGTGCAATCCTTAGGTTTTTACATGGATTAAAACCTTTCAATCTCACAAGAACCCTATGAAGTAGGTACCATGAGTATCACACCCATTTTACAGATGACAGAATAGAGATGCAGGCCAATAAGTAATCTACTAAATGTACACAGTAAGTGGCACATCTGGGAGTTTATGCCAAGTTGTCTGATTCCAGATGCAGAATCCAGGCTGGGAAATGCTCACAATTCTTCCCTCCACCTTCTCTTCTCTGTTTCTGACATTATGCTAAGCTACCCTTGTGCATATTTATTTTCTTTTAAGTTGCTTCTTTGTAAGTGGACTAAGAAAAAAAGGGGGGGGGGAAGGAAAAAGAAGTGAAGGGAAGAAAAAGAGGGAGAAAATAAAACTAGACTATTCCAGTTCTCCGAAATTAAATTTAGACATCTGAGGAGCTGGGACAAGAAGAAACTCGCATTTAAGGGCATATTAAAATAAGTTCTGGGCCTGGTGCCTTCCTATGTCATCCCATTTAGTCCTCAAAATAGGTGGTGTGAGAAGGTACAAATCTCCACATTATAGGTGAGGAAACAAAGACTCAGAGGTTAAGCGACTCACTCAAGGTCAATGGTCTAGTAAAGAGGGAGAGCCCAACCCACCTCCAGGAGATTCAGGTAAACCCTGGTAGAGACAAGGAGATAGTCTGGGATTTGCATTAAGGAGACTGTTTGAACTTGGACAGATTCTTTAGCCATGTCTCTGACCTTCAGGTCGTTCATTTGTCGAATTGGGGTGAAAATAATGCCTGTCCCATAGGGTTACCGCAGTGTTTAACTAAGATACCACTATCCAGTCAACTCATTCACAATGCATTCCTTTCACAAATATTTGCTGATTACTTACTCTGTGCTTTGAAAAAACAGTGGCACTGTATAGCTTTTTTCTTTATTTCTTTGTTTGTTTTTTCTGAGAAAAGTTTCTATTTATTTTATAGTCTATGTTATGCTTTAGGGCAGTGCTTTTGCTAAAAACATTTAAAGACAAGTCACATTTGATATGTTCTCCAGGCTGTCCTTGGAGCTAGGAGCACAGTGGTGAAGGTGATCACAGGCGCCCTACCATTGTGAGTGACCCAGGGACAGCAGTCCCCATGTTACAGGTCAAACGCTCACCCATGAGTGTATGTAGGCAGCATTCTTTTATCAGATCAGATGCCTTCTTTTCCCGTCAATAGAGGCTGTGTTGCTTGGGGTTTCACTTCCTCGCTTCCAAGTGATGTGACCTTGGGGCAAATTGACCCAATACTTATTTTTCAGGAACTCTTGAAAGTTACATAAAGTTGCAGGGTCAGTACTTGGCACCCTGTGAGTACTCTGTTGAGTTAGCACTTGTGATTGATTGATAACAATTGGGCCCCTGTCCTCTACTCATCACTCCCTGGAGAGAGACAGAAGCCTCACTGGATTTTTACAATTCCATTTCAAATTGTTCAGTGGTGTTTAATCACCTGCAGAGTAAAGGCCAGATTTCTTGGCAAATCGTTCATGGTCCGCCATGAACTAACTCATCTACCGAACTTCAGCATCCACTGAAGTTTTCCCCAAAACCCCTCTTCTCTAAGCCCCTCTGCATTCCGATTCACAGCAGCCCCAGCCTTCGCCTGGGGAATCCTATTCATCCTTCAAGACCTAATTTTGCTGCCCTGTTATGCTTTTTGTATATCTTTACTAACCTCATCACAGAGTGTTTGGACTTCTTGCTCTCTCTTTCCCTCCCTTCCTTCTTCCACAGATTATTACTGGGCACCCACTCTGTGCCATGCACCAGCTTCGAGGCTCCAGGGCTGATGACAAGCAGGATGGTCTGGCTCACAGCTTCAGACCTTTCAGCACCAGCACTAACCCACCTGAAGCTTATCACAATGTGAGACAGTTGGATAACATGAGAAGGGGACCTGAGCTAGTCCCAGTCCGTGGGCCTCCTGGAGAAACATGTAGATGCCTTGGTTTAGTTCACTTGGTTTTTCCCAGTGTCTAGCAAGGAACCCAGCTGAATGTTTGTTGCATGAGGAAATAAAACTCTTTGCCCAATAACGTTCATTCATTCATTCATTCTTCATTCATTCATTCCTCATTTCTCTTTGTGCCAGTGCAGGCCTCAGTGTCACCTCTCCAATTCCCCTTTCTTGGAGTCCCCATTTCCCTTACCTCTGATTCATCTACCCTGCCACTTAAATAAAATCTCTAGTGTCTACAGTGCATGGCACCAAGAAGGCACTTTCATCTTCCCCCTCCAGCGATGCTCCTCTTACTCATCTGGACTTCCGTCTTGTGAATCACCAATGTAGCAACAATGACATTGAACTTCATAGTTTAAACATAGATTGAAGCAACTACTTCCAGAACTCTCATGTGAAGCAACATCCCTCCAATGGCTTGGGATGAAAATTACATAGACCTGGCATTGCTGAGCTAGAACTATATAGGCTAATGGTAAGGGCTAGTTGGGTTGGAAAGGCTGGGGTGAGGCGATTAAGTTTGCATGCTGAGGAATTGTTGTTGTTTTTTGAAGTTTGCAGAAAATGCCTGTGGTGCGGTCCAGGTGGTGCTCAATGGGTCCATCAGTGATCCCTTTGATAAAAACAGGTATTTATTTCTTTATGTTTTAACTGCAAGGGTTAGCACAGCCTCCTGTTAGATATTTCATGTATAGAAAAATGTACTTCTCATGTTTAAGGTCAGTCCTCAAGCCTCGGGGTACAAAAGGTAAAATGTTTGTATTGTATGGAGGTTTGTCTTTCTAAGTCAATGCCTTTGTCTGGTTTCTCTGTTGCGATCACGGCCTGTGCACTGTGTCCAGCTCCCTCTCTTGACTTTTCAAAGCCCGGTGTAATTCTCTCAGCTCTGTCTCCATGACAACCACCCTGCCCATTTCCTGCCTTTGTTTACCCTGTTCCCCCATATGCCCTGCCGCCTCCTCCTCCTGCCTATCTGCATCCTGGCCATCCTGGAAAGTCTGTCCTTCCTGCTGTCTCCTCCATGTACCTGTGAGTCCCAACTCAGCAGTAAAACCACCACTAGGGACATCAGGAACTGTGCTGTGCACTCTTGAACTTCATCATCTCATTGTCAGCAATTTAGTGTAGTGGTTAAAAGTGGGGACTCCAGAGGTCTTTACATACTATGTACGAAGTGTGACAATTAAGTTTGCGAATTCATCCTAGAAAAAGTGCTCCATACCTCATTGCTGAATATCACTACAGTCACCTTCGAAGTACTCCCCTTGGGAAGCTATGCACTGACACCAGTGCCTAGTCCACCCTTGAAAGCAATTTTGGAACTCTTCCTGAATGACCATCAGAGCTATCATCGTATTACACTTGATTTCCTGAATGTCATCAAACTGTTTTCCTCTCAATATTGCCTTTATCTTTGAGTAAAGAAAGAAGTCATTGGGGATCAGATCAGGTGAATTGGAGGGTGTTTCTATACATTTATTTGTTTACTGGCTAAGAGCCCCCTCACACACATGGCTGTGTGAGCTGGTGCATTGTTGTGATGCAAGGGCTGTGAATTTTTGGCAAATAGTTCAGATCATTTTCTTCTAACTTTTTCCTTCAGTCTTTTCAGCATTTTCAAATCGTAAACTTGGTTAACTGTCTGTTCAGTTGGTACAAATTCATAATGAATCAATCTTCTGGTATCAAAAACAGTTAGCAACAGCATTGCAACAAGTCGGGAACTTAATTATCACACCCCATGTGACTTTAGGCAGGGTACCTAACCTCTTTGGGACCTTGTGGTATGTACCTGCAGAGGTGATGTTGATATGATGATTAACGGGGATAATGTATGGAAAATGCTGGGTTCTGTGCCTGACAGAGAGAGAGAGTGCTCAATGAATATCAGCTATTATCTCTCATTTAATCTGTACCACTACATCTGGCCACAGCAATGCCTTCCTTCTCTGACTGCCTTCTGTACTTACAGGTTTTTATCACATGGGTTACCTTTTTAGTTCTTTGTTCTCTGATGTTTCCCTGGATAAGGCTGGACTGAGAGAATGGAGCATACAGTAATGTGCCCTGGGCACTCTAGGTGCCCCAAATTAAATTTCCTTCTCTCCTTTTTTAATATTTAATTCTATGAAGAAGCATTATCCCTTTTGTCTTCTTCTGACCTCAGCCTTGTGGCCTTTTGGGTAAAAGTGCTAATATTCCAGAATTTTATAATCTGATATTAGGGATGTAATTACTTGCAATACGAGTGGCAGCTGTCAGAGAGTAATGGGGAAGAGTTTAGGATGGGGGTTGGAGCAGGACATTGGGGTCTTTCTGAGCAGTGTCCCAACTTGCCTGAGCATGTGGATCACCTGGGGATGGCTCAGCTGCAGGCTCTGGTGCAGCAGGTGGTGGTGGCCTGAGATGCTGCACTGCTAACGAGCTCCCAGGTGATGTCAGTATGCTGGTCTAAGGCCCACACTTGGAATAGCAATCACTTAAACAATGAACATCAATGTACAGATTAAGAATCTTGTTTGAGGATCTTAGGCATCAAGGGTCATACAGAAAGAGTAAGGTGCTGTTTCTAATGCAAATCACGGGTCTGTTCCAAAGGGTAGATTCTAGCCAATGGCACCCCATCTGCTGGCTTTTCACAGGGGCTCTGGGTGCATGAACGATTTAGTTTGGGGTTGACCATGTTCTTTGTCTCTTTTATCTTAGCACTTTTGGGCGTGTGGAAATCCATAATTTGCGTTCAGAGGAGGTTCCTACACTACAAGCCTGGGTGATGCATGACATTGGAGATCCCAGGTATATGTTACTACTCTGTACCCAGATATTCTCATGAGTTATTTTAGTCCAGAAAAGAACCTACAGTCACAAGAAATCCTTGAGGACAGAAAGAGTGGCTCAGGAAATGAATGGGGCCTTACTCTACATTCAGCCCATCCCAACAACCTCCCAATTTTATCTCCATAATGGGTATCTCCCTAGTTTACACCTTTGGCTCCCCTGCTGACCTGTGAACTCTTAGTGGAAACCTCTGCTTCACCTCTTCATCTCAAGGCCTTGCACACCTGATACCTAGAAGAAACTAAGGGGCTCAAGAAATGTTTGCGAGATCTTGTTATTTTAACACTTTCTTCTTTCTTTCTCAGTGCCTCATGCTCAAATCCCTGCGAGATCTTGTTATTTTAAACACTTTCTTCTTTCTTTTCTAGTGCCTCATGCTCAAATCCCTCCATAGATGATCTGAAATCGATTTTAAGCAACAGGAACATTAAATTTACCTGCCAGGAAAACTACAGGTAATTAATTTCTTCTTGTAGAAGAAATGGCCGACTTCCTCTCTGCAGGCATTTCCCCTTGGGCCTTGATGGTGATCTGGGATGGTGACCTATGGTGATCTCTGTTCCTTCCCCAGCTTAACCCAGGGGTGTTCCTAGTCTCTGAAGAAAATACGGGGGTCCCTCATTTCAGGTTGCTGCTTCTGCTGTCTCTTGATCATCATTAACATCCATAGTCCATATCTGTGCCATGTTGGAGCCAGATATTCATTTTCATCTCTACATGTTATCATCAAACATCCCTTCTTGGTATTTATTTTGTTGGCTTTACACATGAAATAAAACTGGGCCTTACTTTAAGTTATTCACTCCTGGACTTGACCTTTATCCATATTGCTGCTGCAGGAGAGGAACTTTTGTGGATGCTTAGTGGTCCACACATCTCCTTTCATTGTTGTCTTGAACCATAGATAACCTGCACTGCCTCTAGATATCCCTTTTTGTTTTCTTGTCATAGGCCTCTCAGGCTTCTACAGTGTGTGCAATATCCGGAGGATTCATCCTGTTCTATACAATGAGCCAATCAGCATTGCGATTTCAGAGCTTGGAACCCTTCTGGTACACATCACTGTGCATGAATCAGGAGACACGCTGGTGGAAAGCCTACTTCCTGGCATCCGATTCCTTTGTCAGCATGTCAGCACTGGAGACGGATGCCTTTGCTCCCAAAGTCTGAAAATAATTATACTGTTTACATAGTTTTTATTTTCATCTCCTAATATTTAAGAGAAGTTATATAAAATAGAAATTTTATTTTAAATCATTCCATTTTTATTTTTTATGATGCTTTTATATAGTTTTTATGATGGTTACATTCTTTCTATGGAAAAATGACCCCACCAAATTTCTCATATTGGAACAGTCAAAAAAGATAAAGAAAGGTAGATGTCCAAGCTTTTCAGAAAACATTACATTTCCAAATGAATGACCTTGTCTCAGCATATATTTTGTACCCTTCCTACAGATAAACTATAATGCCATGTTTATGGGTCATATTGAGGAAAATATTTTATAGGATATAAACTATCCATGTACTCGGTTCTTTACCTGTAACCTTTCTAACAGCTCTATGAGGTTGTAATTATTATCTCTCATTTGTTAGATGAGAAAGTGAAGTTCAGAAAGGTTATATAATTTACCTAATGTCATACATTTATTATAGTTCAAGGCAGAGGCTGAATTTGAACTCAGCTCTGTCTGACTCCAAAGTATACGTCTCTCTCTAGGCCTGTGATACCAAACTGACAGTGCCTTGTGTTCTCTTCCAATAAATGCATGTTGGATTCAATGGCGTACAATAGAATCTGGAATGTGATTTTTCTGGATAGCTTCAAAACAGATACATTTTTTTCCTCCTCTTCCTCTTCCTCCAATTTCTCATGTTCAGTGTCTTATGTATATAATAGATAGTTAAAATATGTGTTGCTCAAATGCTGGCGAGGTTGTGGGGAAAAGGGAACCTTGGTGCGCCGCTGGTGGGACTGCAGACTGGTGCAGCCACTATGGAAATCAGTATGGAGGTATCTCAAAAAACTGGAAATGGAACTACCTTATGACCCAGCAATTCCACTCTTAGGTATTTATCCAGNAAATCAGTATGGAGGTATCTCAAAAAACTGGAAATGGAACTACCTTATGACCCAGCAATTCCACTCTTAGGTATTTATCCAGAAAAACCCAAGACATTAATTCAAAAACATATATGCATCCCTTTGTTCATTGCAGTGCTATTCACAATAGCTAAGACTTGGAAACAACTGAAATGCCCATCGGTAGATGACTGGATTAAGAAACTGTGGTACATTTACACAATGGAATATTACTCACCTATAAAGAAGAAGGAAATTGTTCCATTTGCAACGATATGGATGGACCTAGAGAACACTATGCTAAGGGAAATAAGTCAGTCTGAGAAAGACAAATACCATATGATCTCACTTATATGTGGAATCTAAAGAACTGAGTAAATGAGAAATGTAAACAGAAATAGTCTCAGAGACACAGAAGAAAAACTGAGGGTCGCTGGTTGGGAGGGGGTGGGGGTGAGGAAGAAAGGGAAGGAATGAGACAATACAAATTGGTAATTACAATATGGCCTCAGTGATAGAAAAGACAGTTTGGGGAATATAATTAATAGTGTTATAAATATTTTTTAGGGGGCCAGATGGACTCATGTCTTGTTAGGGAGACCACTTTATAGATGGTGTAAAGGCCTGACCGCCACACTATATTTCTGAAGTTGATGTTGAATAATATTGTATGTCAACTATAATTATATATACATATAGTCATGGGACATGGCATAGAGAGTGGGAATGGAGTCAATGGAATTGTAATAGATAAGCATGATATTGGGGGTGGGAAGGCAGTGGATGGGGGAGAGGGGTTGTTAGTTTATGAGGGGCGAAAAGGATAACTATTGCATTGTCCACCTGAAACTAATAATAATAAAAAATAAATTAAAAAAATATATGTGTTTCTTCCTGATACGGACAGTTCAGTGTGTTGATTTCTCCTTTTTTTCTCGGTCAGTCCTGTGCAGGGATTACCACTTTTGTTATTCTTTCAAAGAACCACCTTTAGCTTTGTTGATTTTCTCTTTCTATTTTTGTTACTTTTTGTTCTTTTTTTTTTTAAAGATTTTTATTGGGGAGTTGGGGGGATGGGAACAGTGCTGAGGAATTGGGGGAAGGGGAACAGACAAGTTGCTGTCGTTTTGTTCTTCAAATATAGTTGTGGAGGATGTTGCTTCACTGGCCCAAGTTGGCACCATCATTGCACTCTTCCTGGGCGAGGCAGATCAGTCGCCAGCTTCTGGACAGCTACTCACTGCGGCTGCTGGCCGCTCATGCTGGCTGCTGGCTACACACGGTAGCCCATGGCAACCCACTGCCACAGGGGCTGCAGCCTACGCTGTCGCCGGTGACTCACGGCAGCCCAGCTCCAGGTTGAGCTGTTGTTCAGCATCTTAGCTGTGAAGGGCAGTGTCATTGGCCCTCATATGTGGGATCCGAGTCGGGGCCCTCTGGCATCCCAAGCCAGTTCTTGACCATCGCGCCACTCGGCTGGCCAATTTTTTGTTCTTTTTATTATTAGAGATATAGAAATTCCTTATAATTTTTTTGGATTTTTAAATTCAGCTTCTTGAAACGGGAGCTGTGATTACTAGTTTTTCAGCCTATTTTCTTTTCTTATACATGTATTTTTAATACTATAAATTTTCCTCCAAGTGCTTCTTTAGCTGCAGCTTTTAAGTTTTGATATGTTTTTTTTCATTATCATTCAGCTAAAAATATTTCCTAATTTAATTGTTATTTAGAAATGTGTTGCTTAATTTTCAACATCTGATGATTTTCTAGGTTTTTTAATCATAGATTAATTGAATGAAAAATTGATATACTAATTTGAGACTTCTTGAGGGAACCCAGGAGATTTGTTGAAAATGCATAAATTTTGGAGGTAGGCATTTCTGGGCTCATATTTTAGCATCACTCTGTGATCTTGAATGATGAAATACCTAATCTCTCTGAACTTCAATTTCCTTGCCACTCAAATCAGAATTATAAACTTACCCCCATTTAAGTGGTTAGAGCTAAAGAAGATGACAACAATTGATGAGGCATAGTGCCTTGTATAAGCAAATACTCAACCAAGGTCGGCCCCTTTCTGCCTGCCACTGGTTGGTAATGCAGTTTCCTCAGGAGTCCTTGCATTACAGCCACTGTGGTCAGTCCATGGATTCTTCACTGGCTCCTTCTTCACTTAGGCACATCCTCACGAGACTTAGTTTTGGCTAGAATGAGGCTGGTGCTCTGATTAAGAGGCCAACTTACCCTAAGTTCCAATTAACTCCACTTGCAGAATGTCTTCAGAAACAGGTCCCTGCTAATCTCCCGGATGACCTGGGTGTTTTCCACTCAGGACAGTTTCTGGCTTATTGTCGGGCTTGCCTGCTGATGTCTGGACTCTCTAAATGTACCTTCCTTGTACACCAGGAAACCCCTGGAAGTGGCTGCCTGTGCCCGAAAAATTTTGTTCTTTGCATTCCCTTCCAAAGAGGGAGTGGATAGAGTAGAAATCAATTTGCAAGAGACTTCCCCCAAGAAGACCACTTGAGTGTTCAAGTTCAAAGCCAGTGGACACTAACGGAGATGATCCCATGGTTTTCACAACTTGCTGCGGAGGCCCTGGGAGCCCTGAAGGTGACTGGAGCTGGGGTGAGCCCCAGGAGCCCTGAGGGTGGCTGGCAGCCGGGATGCTCTTTTCTCCTTGCACCACGCGTGTATTTTTATTACCATGCCACCTCGTCCCTGCCTCTTCTCTGTCTGCAGTTCCAACTTAGGTGCCTTTGCCGTTAGCCATGCAGTCATCTTTAGCCCTAAGGCCTTCTGACCTGCATATATAAACAAATCCTCCATATCCTTCTTCTTTTAAGTGACATCTCTACTGAATTACTGATTGCTTATCAACCTCATACTTTACTCATAAAACTGCATTATTGTTTGCTCTAGAAAACTCTCTTACCACTCTATCTTGCATCCACTATCATACTTACCCAAAAGCTGTGGGAGTGACCCAGGGCCTAGTTTCCCTTTTCTAACTCCTAAAGGCCACTATTTTTTTTCTGTGAATCTTATAAGATTTGCAGCACATTTTCAAATACAGTTCTGAAATTTTAGGCTGAATACTTGAAAAGGGAAAAACGCACGCACGCATACACACACAATTTTACACTCAATGGTTCTTTTTTTAGCCACATGTCACTGTTTGTGTTGACATATTTAGTGCCATATCCACATCTTTTATACACCTGGCAGGCAAAGCCTGGTATATATAAAATATTTGAGCAAAACACATTCTTTCATTGGCTTGACAGTTCTCTGTGTCTTTATTTCTTGTTGGAAACAAGCTCAACCCGTGTCTGTATGATCCTTGATACAAGAGACACGTAGCAAGAGCTGTGTCAACTTACCTCCTGGCACCCCATCCCCTCTTAAAACAATTCCTAAGGGCTTGACTTGAGTATCTCAGGTAGAATGCACACTGTACAGAAGAACTCTGCTTTTATGGGTTTTTAAAAGGCAACTATTGGGTTGTCAGAAAAGTCATGACACATTTTTACAATGAAGAACAGAGCAAAAATACGTCATGACTTTTCCGACAACCCAATAGTTATATGCACTGGATAAATGTTATGTATGGCTAATTAAAATTGTATAAAGTAAAATGCTAAAGTAAACTTAGAGTACGATATGATTATAAAAGGCATTTTATGAATGAGGTGTTATCCAAGACATTTTCTACAGTTTTTTAAAATAAAGCAATTATTTATACTACTGAGAGTCATAATTTAAATATATATCTAACAATTCACCAGGGATTCAGTGCTGGGTGTCTCCCTGAAAGGCAGTGGTTAGCTGGTCCTCAGCTGACACTCACAAAGCACAGAAGATTTTGGACTGGTCCCTGACAAACAGTTTACCCTTGAATTTGATTCACAGAGGTGCACATTGCCATTCTCATCCTCTCATCGAAGTACAAGCAGCACAGGATAGTGAAAACCATGGAATTAAGAGACAGGTGACCCACTGAGAAAGTTTATTAACATCTGTGAATCTCTAGTTTGGAATATTTTTATAATAGACATAAATGAATTATGTAAATAATAAAAGAATAATAAAGGACTTTGTGGAAACATGTTTTAAAAAATAGTTGCTTCTGCAAATACCTCATGATCTCACTTATTTGTGGAATCTAAAAAAGTCAAACTCAGTAACAGAGAGTAGAATGGTGGTTACCAGGGCTTTGGGGGGCATGAGAGAGATGCTGGCCAAAGATGCTGGAGAGACAATGGATATGTGTTGTGGGTGGGGGAGGTGTCCCAAAAGAGTCCAAACTTAGTTTGAAGACCCCAAAATCCTTACTCTTCTTTATTCTTTGAGACATCAAAGAAACATCCAAAGAGACATCAAAGTGCTATTTGCTTTTCATTAAGAATCTCAGCTTTGAGATTCACGCGATGACACACCCTTGTTCTCTATTGAGAAAACTCACCTTGAGACCTCCCAGGAGCCTATGTGATGACATAGTGAAATGTGTGATACTTAATAAGGTACATAAATGTGAAATAGCATTTAAAAGCTTGGCGCAAAATGCATCATGCAGAGAACAGAAAACTAACACTCATTGTACCAGGCATTTCACATATTGTGTCGGCCAGGGATCTCAGCTGCAACAGCAGAATACAACTGGGGCTAGAAATAAATATTCTAGAGAACATCTGGAGCTTATAGGGTCTCTGGGAGATAAGAAAAGTTTGGAAGCCTCTTAGTCAAGAACAACACCCATAATTATTCTACAAACTGGTCGGGTAGAGAAGTTGTTCTTGTTGTGAGAACTCTTGCTGTCACTTTGTCACTGTAAGACGTGGCCACTGCTGTTTTGGGGAGTAAAAGTGACCG